TTGTGTTGGTGACGTATAGGTGAATAAGGTTGACTTACACCCTAGTTCCAACTACTTCTAAATGCATTTCCTACGTCTATCCAGAGCTTTATTCATCTTTTATAAGATGTCTAGGCAATTTGCCTTTTTCTTAGACTTAGGTACACATTAATATACGTGGCTTAGAAGGTACAGAGGCTCCCAGATATACCTTTATTAATAATATATAATAAAATAGCTTGGTTAATTTTGATCAGGACTCGTTTATGACTGGTATAGTTTTTGACCATTTGTCTGGCCTGGCAAGATTATTATTAACTCATACATTTTTTTGTCATGCACTTCTTCATATTATCCCTTTTTGGCTCTTTTAGTTCGTCTATTTAACATGCTCAATTACCACTGGTATCTAAAGCAGGAAATCTTCTTGTCCGATTCTGCTCGTCCATGCCTTTTCTGGCTTCCGGACACCCTGCTCGGATCTTGTACCAACAAGATTCTTGGAACGCATTGGTCGGGTGCCTCTGCTGTTCTTCTGATTGCAGATTGTGATAGGAGGAAAGTTGGCCTCCGGCAGCATTCTTTAGACTTGGAGACGGTGGATAAACGACTGAATAAATCTGACTTCACTGTGGGTGATTCGAAAGCCACTGCAGAGGCGCATACTGAAGCCGGGATACTCCGTATCTGGGGCTTCAAATCTGTCTTAGATCGCCTTGGCCTTATTTGGGAACAAATTCCTCTCCCTAAGTATTTAGAGGAGCACGGGAACACGATATCATGTAGGAAGGCGATCTGGCCAGCACTGGTAGCTGTTATTGATGGTGGTATGTTTTGATTTAGCTTAACGATTTTTTTGAATAAGAACCCGAAACTTGTTTATCTTGTTATAAAAATATTTTTCCTTAGCATTTTCAGACTCAGCCTCAATTTTCTAGTACCTATCAAAAGTCTACTAATTGATTGTTGAGCTTACTTCCATTTCGAGTGAAAGTGTTTGGTAAAGAGATTCAAAGGCCGATTCGA